GCTTTGTAGGTGATTTGTTTCTTTTTTCTAACTGTTTAATATTCTGTTCTTGTGTTGGATTTCTGGAATCTTGATTATTATATGCTTTGGTGTAGATATTCTTTTTGATCATGGATAATTGGAATCCTGTATTCCTCGCTTACCTCTATGTCAAATTGTTTTTCCCTGCTTGGGAAGTTTTCTCTCGTTACTTCTGTGAATGGGTTTTGTTGGGGTTTTTTTTCCCAGTACCAGGGATTGAGCTCAGGACCTTGCGCTTGTAAGGCAGGCCGTGGCACCACTGAGCTAAATCCCCAGCCCATGAATAGGTTTTTTGTATCATTTGCGCTATCTCCTGCTTTTTCATTGACTCTAATCAATCTTGTATTATTCTTTGCATCATCTAGTAGCTGCTGCATTGATTTTTCATGGTCTCATGCTATTTTTAAGAGATCTTTCTTTTCATGATCACTAACAGCAATACTGTCTTCTATATCTGATATTCTGTCCTTACATTCACTCATTCTGCTGTGTATGCTTTCAGTAGAATTTTTTTTTTTTTGTACCGGGGATCGATCTCAGGACCTTGTGCTTATGAGGCAGGCAGCGGCACCACTGAGCTAAATTTCCAGTCCTTCAATGGAATTTTTAATGTCTTGGCTATCTGTTTTTTTCCTAAGTTGGGTGTCCATGGTTTCCATCATTTTTCTAAGCTCCTCTATGTATGTGTTCTAGAGTCACTAAGCATGTCCTTCATTATAGTCACCATCTCTGTAATTATCTGAGAAATTGTTTCTGATTGGATTTTTTTCTTTTTTTCTTTTTTGGTACCGGGGATCAAACTCAGGACCCCGGATTGGATTTTTTTCTATAGCCTCATTCATCTGCATTTTTACTTCTTCTGTTACCACTTCTGAGAGTCTAGGTGAGTGGCTTTTGAATTGTTCCCCCTCATGTCCCGTGGTGGGTTTGCCTTTGGTGAACTGAAGTCTAGGGTTGCATCTTGCTTAAGTGTCTTCTCATTTTCTATGTTTTAAAAATTTAATTCTTAGGGGCCAGGGATTTAGCTCAGTGGCACCGTGCCTCCCTTGAAAGCGCAAGGTCCTAAGTTTGATCTCCAGTACCCCCCCACAAAAAAAATTTAATTCTTGGGTTATGCTTATAAATTGAGTACAGTGAGTAGCTTTATTACTAGTATTTAGAACTCTTAGGAAATGACTACCTTTTTTTTGGTTTTTTGAGACAGGGTATTGCTGTGTAGTTCAGGCTGGTCTTGAACTCACGGTGTATTCCAGGCTGGCCTTGGACTCATGGTAATCTTCCTGCCTAACCTCTGGAGTGTTGGGATTACAGGTGTGTGCCACCATGCCTGCCTGCAAATGATTACTTCTCAGAGGTGTCTTCCAGATGTAGCTGGCTTTGGGTTTTTAGTCTGTTGCAAGATCCTATCTCTTCATTTTATTGGGCATGAGAAATTGCTAGCCCATTTTTCTTCGGCCCTGGCCTTTGTATTGTTTATGACCCTTAGGCAATCTCAATTTTGGCATACCAGGAAGAACAACTGGTTAGCACAATTATGTCACCTTGGCTAAAGTAGTACAATCAGCAATAACAATAGCATCCATCACAGCCTAGAAAATGACAAGCTGTGATAACTATTGATTTTGCCACCTTTAACTGCATGATTAGATTTCTGATTATATAATAAAATCTAAAACAAACCAGAAACTTTTGTGCAGTAAATATCCCCTACTGAGACGATTTTACCTTCTGGGGAGAAAATTTAAAAGGGTTAGGGGAAAAAAATAGAACCAGAAGAAGAGGAAGAGATTAGAAGCAAGGCTGGAGGGCAAAGGAAGATTATGCAAACTTTAGGAAACTGTTGGAGGAGACAGAAAGGAAAGAGAGAAGGAAAAAAAAATAGGGCCAGGATTTAGCTCAGTGGTTTCACTGCCTGCCTCGCAAGTGCAAGGTCCCAAGTTCGATCCCCGGTACCAAAAGAAAAAAGAAAAATAGGAACAGAATAGAAGAGCGACAATAAAAGCCAGAAACAATATTCACACTTATATTAAAAGAAAATCAAACAAGGAAAAAACAAAAGAAAAACAAGAAAAGGAAAAAAAAAAGTTTAATGTCCACTGCAAGTCATGTCTCTGCTGTTACTGGTAGACAGATTAGGCACACAGAGCCCAAATCTGTGTTTATTAATCCCAACAAGCCAGCGGTAGATTTATAGCAGGGTAGTGGATCATCCCAGGAAGCCTGTACCTTTAGTTCTGAAGCTCAGACTGGCTTCTGGCTGTGAAGCTGAAACCCAATTTGTTCAGCCTGTAACACTCCGTGTGTCATGCCCTCTTGAACTTGGCTCCTTGACTGCCTGCTGATTTGACCTTGGTTCCAACTCACCCTGATGGAGGCAGCATGCCGCAGCTCTGAATTCTGAGCTCAGTTGGCCCCTCTCCAAGATGGCTAACAGCCAGTCGTCCTCTCTTGGGGGTCATCTGAGCCCAAATAACTCAGTCCTCTGCAATCCACTGCATCCATTGCTGTGTTTCACTGGTGCATTTCTCTGTGGAGGCCTCTAGAGTCAGCAGTAGTCACCATATGCCTGCCTGTTCAAGTCACCCTTTCTATGCAGTGAGTCAGGGCTCAAGGAGAAAGCACCACTTGCTACCTTTTTCTTCTTTGTTGAATTCTCTCTCCTTGCTCTCCCTGTGGGCTTTAATTCTTGATTCAGATGCTTGCTGGATCCCTGGGACCTACATCCCTCTTTCTTTTCCTCACGTTGCTTTATTCCAGTGTCTGAACACCATATCTCGTAGAGGCTCTTTCTCTGCTGTTCACCATTCCACTATCCAAACATCAGTAGTTTTAAAAGTTCCACAGATGGGGCCAGGGATTTAGCTCAGTTGGTGCTGCTGCCTGCCTGGATTTTGATCCCTGGTTAAAAAAAAAAAAAAAAAAAAAAAAAGTTCCCCAGATGAGTCCACTATATAGCTAAGAATACACAATAGTGCTGCTAGGAGTGCATGAACATAAAATTTAGGTAAGGATATACAATGATGGTAAACCTTTTAGAGATCAAGCGCTTAAACTGCAACCCCAGTCCCACTTATTTATCACGAAGTGCCAACACTGCAATTAAACCTGAATACTAAGGTTTTAGTTTAGAAAAAAATAACTCATATATTAGCATCTTTTGTCTTAAAAGAAAAACATGTGTGCCATAGTTTTGCCACCACTGGTGACCTTTCTTTTAAACAGTCTGTGTTGCCTACCACAAGGGCATTGGAGGTATTAAAATTGAGCTTCACTTTACAAACTCTGTGAGTTTGCATGAATTCCTTAGTTAAGTGTTTCTGCCACGATTAAATGAGATATAAATAAGTAAAGTGTCTAGTGCAATGCAGAGCACAAAGTAGGTGTTTCTTCTCTTTCAGAAGTTGTTTATTTTTGAATGAATAAGGGTTACAAACCATCCTCATACTCTAGTTAAAGTCATGAAATGAGAACTTGATCTATTTATCTGACAAACTGTACCAAGAGTTAAGTATGTTGTTTTTTAAGTGTGTTCTAAAGGAACTGTGTACCTCTTAATCAGAGGGATTTCCTTGTGTTTTTGTTTTCCTCTTTAAATATGATGGTTTTGGGGTTTTTGTTTTTGCTTTACAGTACCGGGGATTCAATCCAGGGCCTTGTGCTAAGTAAGCACTCCACCACTGAGCTACATCTTTAGCCCTTTTCATTTTAGCTTTGGGACAGGGTCTAAGTTCCACAGGCTGGCCTCAAAACTCCTGCATCAGCCTCCAGAGTGGCTAGAGGCATGCACCACCATGCCTAGCTAAAACAGGATGTTTGAGCTTCCTGTCCAACACAAAAAGTTATGAACCTTTCCCTTTAAAAATAGTTTTCTCTTTTAAACAAACTTGTACTTTTGGGAAAGTTAATTTCTCTTCATAGATATCACTGTGCATACACAGCTTCTGTATATAAAGTTCATCGGAGTTATTAAATGCTAAATAACTGTTTCCATGTGAAGGATACGAACAAATTTAATTGATTTGTATGACTTTCTCATATGCTTTGAAATGACACAACAGAAGCCTAACAAATAATATCTTGTTTTCTAAATTGACACAGTACTGTTATGGGGAAAATAACTCCCAACCTGTTAAGATATCAGCAACGTAGAGGAAGTCGTGAACCAACGGAGCAGGTTAGGAGAGTTTTATTTGAAATGTGAAGAGTAGCTCCTGGGTTTCCAGGAGGGCTCCCATGTCAGTGGTCAAGGTGGCCCCTCAATCCAAGAGCTAATTATAGGTAAGCAGAACACAGGAAATGGCCTCTCACAGGTGGCTCTGTGGATTTAAAATGACCAACTGGAACTCAGGCCCTCTAATCCAGTTCTTTAACATGTAGGATTTCAAGGAACCTGGAATTTTAGAGAAAAACTAGTTCTTTTTCATTTTAAATTCCTCAGCACTCAGGAGTTTAGTAGGGAGTAGCTAGTAGGGGAGTAGCAAGTCCCTCTACTAGGGAGAGGGCTGCATCCCATATTGCATGAGGAAGTTCACACCTGGACCAAAGTCCTAGTTCATTGTCTCTTATTTTAATTCTTGTCAAAATGGTCCCCCAGCTCTTACCTCAGGCCCTTCCCCTAGCTAGTTGCCTTACTCCTCATAAGCAGACTAAAACTGTTTTCTGCAGTTATCGGTCTTTCATTAAAGAGGAGCATTTGTAAAATGAACTGTTCCCCAATCTTTGTTGTATGAAATATGAGGGCAGAGGTTGAGATCATGATGTGTAATAATGAGAGTGAACAAGCGAGGGAGCTCACGGTTGGTATTTCATTAATCCTGCCCAGTCTCTGGCTTTCTGCAGCCCTGGGAGAGCAGCCTCAACAGTTCTAGGGTTCTTTAGGTTAATAACAATAAGCCTGGGGTGGCCTGCCTAATCCTTTCAAGTGAATGATAAACACTGTAGAAGGCGTGTCAACGAGGCCCCACTCCCAGAGCTGCAGGTCACGTGAGCTCCCAGGACTTCCCGATTCCCAGCCGTGCCTCCCGTGAGCTGTATAATCAGTCTGAAAGGAAAAAGCGTTAGGTAGGCAGGGAAAACCTAGTGGAAGGAAGTTTAAACGGAAAGAGCCAAGCGTTTTTGTAACAATGCCACACTTTACTGTGACTAAGGTAGAGGACCCAGAGGAGGGGGCAGCAGCTTCGGTCTCCCAGGAGCCCAGTTTACCAGAAATAAAACCCCGGATTCTGGCTGCAGATGAACCAGGTGAGTCCTTAGTTTGGAAGTTTTTGGAACCTATAGTTTTGGTGAGAAATGATAACTAAGTTATCAGAATTGAGAATGCCTTCTCAAGCATGGAAAAAAGTGTGGACAAAGTGTTTTTTCAGTCATTTGTTTCATGCGCTTGTGTATCTGATAACTTACTTTTTTAACACACTTGTTTGTTTTTCCCAACAATGAGCTCTGTTGTTCATTACCAACAGGTGAAATTGAATCACGGCAATGTATGAAAAGTTTTCAAGCAAAAAGAAAGGCACAGTGAAAGTCAATTTATGAAGAATTTAGAATTCACTCATTATATCTAGAAAAGACTGTAAATCCAACTAGTAAGGGAAATTTAACTTTAGCAGTTTATGTATTATATAAAGAGAGAGCATGGTTCAGTAGCTTTGTGCTGTGGACTTTGTACTTGTGACTTCTCTGGTTAGAATTTTGCCTCAGTTTACCAGCTTAACAGTAATTCAGTAGTGAATGGTGTAAGAATTCTTTAATAAAAGGACAAAGGGGGCCAGGGATTTAGCTCAGTGGTTTCGCTGCTTGCTACACAAGTGTAAGGACCCGAGTTCGATCCCCAGTACCAATAAATAAATAAATAAAAAGACAAAGGCAAGATAAAAAATAAAAGGACAAAAGTATAATAGATGATCATTATGCTGACTAGCATAGCATCAAGTTTAACAAAATTATTTGATGAATGTGCTTATCTCTATTATTTTCTCTAAATGGTTACAGTTATACTTTCTAGGGGAATTGTGGTTTTGAATTTTTAAACATGCAATTAAAATCTTAGTTAATATTATGGAATTAAATATAGTCAGAGTTTGAAGCCTCTCATTTTTTAGATCTGTGAATTGTCAGCAACTTCTCTGTTACATGAATAAAGCCTAGGGAAGCTCTCGAAATTCCTTTTAATTCCATGATTCCACGATTCTAACTTTTTTTCTATAGCAGTGATGGTAAACCTTTTAGAGCTTTCAGTGATGACGAACAGCCAGCTATGGCACGTGTGCCATAGGTTCACCACTACTGCAATCTGTACCAAGTAACATTGCAGTTCCTTGCTGTAAACAGCTGTTGATTATCTGTTTCTTACCAAGTTTTAGAGAGTTTTTAAGAAACTTTAACTTATTTGGGATCGTGTAACAGAAATAAAAGATTATTAAGAAAAATCTTCCTTTATTTTTTTCCTTCAAGAGAAATAATTTATTAGGAGAAGATAAAAAAGGTTTTATTGGGACACTGACCACTAGGTTATTTTCATTTTGCTGAATAGTAGTCAGGGTGATAAGAAGCTAAAAGCAAGTTAACCTACTTTGAACTTGTGCCTAATTCTCTATGACTTCAGCTCAGAGAAGTTTCTTTCTTAGGCTTGTGTGTATTTGAATCCACATTTTTGTAATTGCTTAGATTTTTTTTTTTTTTTTGATACCGGGAATTGAACTCTGGTCCTTGCACTTGCACAGCAGGCGGTGAAACCACTGAGCTAAATCCCCGGCCCATAATTGCTTAGATTTTAATCCCTTTAGACTTTTGTCTTTATTGTCATCTTCATTACTTTGACAGAAGTTAAAGTCTATCTGTACCTTATTTCACTTCTGTTTTTCTATTCCCTTCTCCATCCTAGCTGTATTTTATTTCTTTTCTAGACCCAGTATGTTTGGAGAAATTTTCTTCTGATTAGAAGAGAGCATTAAAATGACAATCTTTTTTGCAGTCATAAAAAGTTTGATAGTACCCAAACTTTTAATGAGGTAACATTATTAGGCTTAATTTATTTTCTTACATAGCAGTTACTTTGAACAAGTAAGAAGAGACATATATAACCTAAATTAGATTTAGTTTTTTTGTGGTTTTGTTTGTTTTTGAGACAGGGTCTTTATGCAGTTTAGGCTGGTCCTCAATCACAGTGTAACTCAGGCTGGCCTTGAACTCGAAGCAGCCCTTCTCCTCAGCCTCCTGAGTACTGGGATTATAGGCCTACACCACCATGCCTGGCTAACTTGAATTTAATAGTTTTTTATTTGGTGTTTTCCCAACAACCCAGAAAGCACAGTATCCACTTGAGTAAAGGGACAAGAATGTCCTGTCTAAATTAATCTTTATTGTAGGGTTAAGTTGGAGGGAAGAGGGAAGATAAAAATGTGATTTTTTTTTTTTTAAACCAACCAAGGAATAAAATGTTATTGAGGATAGATTTGAGGTTTTCTGTTTCCTTTTGCTTTTGGCTTTTAATTTTGGTTAACTTTGCTTGAAATATTTTAGCCCCTTGTTTTCCCGAGTTTAAAACTAAAATTCTACCTTGATTGTGGTTTTGTTGAATGCTCTTTTTTTTTTTGGTACCAGGGATTGAACTCGGGACCTTCTGATTTTGAGGCAGTCAGCAGAACCACTGAGCTAAATCCCCGTCCCCTTGAATGCACTTTTAATTAACACTGACCAGTTATGTAACCAGTGACTCTTTTTTTCTTGTTTTGTTTTCTTTTTTTGCCCTCTGTATCTATGTGGAGAGAAAAATATGTAGTGTCATATAAATTGAACATATTTAGAAAGCTGGTCACCCTTTAACATAGGCTTTTAAATGATATTTAAACTAGACAATTTGAGTCAGATAAAGTAGAAAATGAGGCCAGGGGCTCAGTGGTTCCAGTGCCTGCCTTGAAAGTGAAGGCACAAGGTCCTGAGTTCAATCCCCAATACCGAAAAAAAAAAAAAAAAGTAGAAAATGAGTAGAGATAATTTAATTTTTAAAAATACATTAATTTTTGCATGCTATCTCCTCCATGTCAGTATAATAGAACCTTACATAATTTTGGTTTCAAAGGGAAAAACAAACTCAGATTTCTATTACGTTTTTGTTGTTTCTTCCTCTTTCCATTTTCTCAGCAGCCTGTCCACAGAAATAGCACTTACCACACATTGTACTGCTATCATCTGTTTACTTCTCTCTCCCCCAGGAAGCTGATTATAAGCTCTTTGAGGACAGAGCTTGTCAGATCATTTTGTATCCTTAGATCCTAAGCAATATAGTAAGCAGTTCAGTGAATAGGCATGCTCTCTGCCTTTTTTATTCATCAGTTGTCATGCCAGGTGTTGTACCTTTTTCCTAAGGCTACAAAGGTGTAAACGTTTCATCCCCACCCCCACCCCAGGCAGCAGAATGATTTTGGAGTCAGGGACTTGACTTTGAATCCCATTTCTACTAATTATTACTAATTAGTAGTAGTGACGATTTGTAATAATTAGTACTTGAGTGACTTTCACCAACCTGTTTAACTTTTTTCCTTATTGATAAAACCAAGGGAATTAACAGTACCTACCTACTTTACAGGGTACTTGTGAGGATTGCATGATATTGTGTGTGTGTGTGTAAATAGAGCACATGCAGGACAGCACTCAAAAATAAGAACTACCTTTTATTTATTATGTTGTGATTAGTGGTTCAATAAGAAAGAGAAACAGGTTTGGGTAACATGATGGGAAAAATAATAAATCCTCGGGTAGGGATCTCGGAGGAGAGGACCCAGTGGATTCTTGAAGGGAGGATTAAAGAAGATTGCAAACAATAGTAACAATTTGAAGGTAAGAGAGGATGGCTAATTATGGTGGCAAACAAGAATTTAGGGTTGTTAGCACCTGGGTGTGTGCTAAAGAGATCAGGGAGGAAGGTAGACTATTTACTGAAGCATTATCAATTCTCCGTGGGTGGTTATTGCCTTTTTAGAAATTAAAAACGGGGCTGGTGGCTTCTCTGGGTCAGGTGGTGAGTAACAGCCAGTGTTCAAACTTTCAAATTCTGTGTGCTGCTTATCATACCATGATACCAAATCCTAACTTTTTAGAATAAGAGAAAGTTATTTTATATCTTAATGTGTATAGGTCATAGAACTTGATAGGAGTATTATCAAAACTTGTAGTCCTGGTAGGACCAGTATATCAGTTTTACTGTTTATTGCATTTGCTTAATGAGATATGAATGCTACATTCCTTTATTTAAATGTTAAATTTGTATATTTTTGCAAAATAATTATTCTAAATCTTCTCAGTCCTTAAATCTTCTTACATTGCTTATGGATTAGGCAGATATGGACTGCTGGATTTTACTTGACTAGACACAGCAGATTAGATTTCCCTTCCCTAGGATATAGGGTTCCTAGGAAACTTTCAGAAATGGACCTATAGCAATAAAGGGAGGAACCTATAATGGTGTTGAACAGCATTTCCAAACATTTACTCACTAGCACTAGTAATACAGTCAGAGAACATACTAAGAGAGATTTCTGTTAGGTAAAGTTAAAATTTCATTGATAACTTGAAGGATGTTAGACTAATTAAATATTAGTTCTCATTACCTATGAAATCTTATATTCTAAAGAAGGAGATTTGACTACCTTTTATTAACTAACATTTAAAAATATGTCAAAATAGACAACTGTAGAGATTCTTCTCTGTGTGGATAAACATCTTTTCTGTAGTGAAGATTTAAAAGCCTTTAATACCTGGGCATGCTGGCATGTGCCGGTGGTCCCAGCTACTCAGGAGATGGAGATTGGAAGAGATTGTTTAAGTCAGAGGCTTGAGGCCAGCCCAGGCATCATAGTAAGACCCCATGTCAAAAAAATAAAAATGAAAAATAGAAGCCTTAAAAAACAAAACCAAAAACTATGCTCAGAGGGCTTTTACCAACCTAGCTAACAGAAACATAAATCTGAATGTTTTAAAATCTGAGTAAAAAGTTTATCCTTCAATTTGGCTGTGTAAGTAGTGTTTTTCTCCCTCCCTCCCAATAGCCCAGTATTCTAGCAAGTCTCCTTTTAGCTCTGTACATCTCAAAACTTTGTGTAGATTGTGACCCTTTGTCACACTACACTCTGACATTCTTGAACACTTTTTTCCAACGTTAATCTCACTGATTTATTAAATTTTCTCATTCCCAGAATTTTTCTTGCTTAGCCTACCAGCCCTGTGTGTACTATCTGCTACTTTTG